CACACTATTAATCAAATACCTGCACTGTTCCTCTGACAATACATTATCATTGCTGAACCAACCTGCAGCAGTTTTTTTTCAATACTACCTAGACCTGAACCTCTGCTGAAAGGTACTTCAGGTTCTGTAATTCTTTTTGTTGCTTTCCTCCCTCTCCCTCTTTCCTTCAGTGGGGATGGAAGAGCTGCAGGTGATTAAAAAAGAGCTGACTCTGATAAAGACACAGATCGATGGGCTTCTTGACAGCCTTGACAGGATGGACACACAGAAGAACGACCACAAAGGTGAGACACTCATTCAGAAAGACGGCGGAGGCACACGGGTTTGAGATCAAACGATAGATAATCTATTGGTGCATCAAAACCGCTTTAGAACAGACTCCGTGTGATGTGCCTACTTTCAGATTCATTCTGGGTTAGTCCTGGCAGGCACCAGTCCAGATCATAATGACTCAGAATTGGTGCTGCAGCGGCAGAGGAGGATGGAAATGTTATGCATGAATGGAGCCACAACTCTTTCAGCTAATCAGTCTGTTATTTCCATCATCCAAAAATGATATGCTTCAAATTGAATACTAGCCACAGCGGATTAACACAGCTATAGTTTTAAACAATATATGGAATAAGATAAGGAAACAATGTGAGCACAACCTGAAATACTGCGTGGATTTTGCTGCCATCATGTGGATGTTTATCATTAGTTTCACCAGCTTGCAAGCATAACACTGACTGTCTTGCAAAAATATTCAGAAACATTTTCAAATTTGTTATGTGACAAATAAAGTTCAATTAATTACCTTTAGAAGTCACCAGGTATGTTAGCTCCACATCTGTCACATGGAAAAAGATGCTCTAGTCGTACAAATTTACTTTACATGATGTCTATATCCAAAACGATATATCCCACTCTGATTATGTGCTACGGGAGCATCAGGCTGTGGCCGTGGTTTTGTTGAGTGATGACAGCAACACTGATCAGATTTTAAAGGATGAATGATGTGAAACACTGCAGGCTAATTCTGGAAGAAAACTTTTCAAAAGCTGCTTGAAGTTGGAGTGGAGGTTCACCTCACAGCAGGACAATGAGCAACCAGAACTGGTTTGAATGGTGTGGAGTAAAGTTTGGACATCTAATTGACAATATATCTCAGGACGCAACTCTCCATCCAATATGAATGAGATTGATTTATGCAAAGAAGAATGGGTAAACATTTCAGTTTCTTGACATGAAAAAGCGGAAGAGACAAATCCTAAAAGTCATGATCAAGTGTAGCTGAATACATTAGCATGCCTCACTTTTCCAGATGTTTAGTTGACAAAATAAATTGGAGAAAAACATGTACATTTTCTTCTGTCTCACAGTTATACACTTCTTTGTGTTGGTGTGTCTCTTTTAATCTCTATAAAATAAAGTGACATTTTTGGTTTAACGTGAAAAAAAAAGTTGATAGGTTCAAGTCAAAATAAATATTCTTGCAAGGCGCTTAATATGAAAATGAAAAGGCCAAAATGCTGTGATCCTCTTTGAAAACTGACTATAAACTGTAGCTTTAAACAAACTTATAATCTACAGACACACAAATGAGACGCAGTGTCCCTGTGGAGCTACGTCTTGTGAGAGATGCAGCTGAGTGACCTTGATGGATTGATAGCTTTCATCATTATATTAATTTACCCCACCATCATTTGACTCGTCTGTCCGTCACCATGCATCCTATCCGCCTCTCACCTCCCTCCCTCCCACTCACTCCACATTTGTCCTTCATGCTGTCACTTCCACTCTGACGCTCTGCCTGTCATCCGCTACAAAACCCAGCCGGTCGCAGCTCGTTTCCTACACTGTTTCACCGAAAATCCTTCATTTCAGTTCCTCATCTCCAAGAGGTATAATCTCCTTCATCCTGTTTTCCAGAGTCTCCGCTGAGAGAGGACAGTCCGCTCAGCTTGTCCTATGTGGTGACGGCCAGCAGTCCGGAGCACTCCCTGTCCTCCCTCTCCCCACCCAGTTCCCGCCATCGGATCCACAGGGCGAGTCCCGACATGAAGGTGTCTGACAATCACAATCATGTGTTGTTCTTTAAACCCCCCCAACATTCCACCACTAAGGAGGAAGTGACATTTTTTTCTAAAGTGGGCATTTGGAGTGAGACATTCCAGTTTCTGTCTCTTAAGTTGCACATGAACCAAGACTGTGAAATCCAAGTTATTTCCACAGAAGAAAAAAAAACTCCTGAGTCATTCTGAGCTGGCAGCTAATGAACCTCCTCTCTGTCTTTCCCTCTCACCTCCCCGTCTCCACGTCTGTCTTTTTGCCTGCTTGTCTGTCACAGATGAGCAGCCACAGCTCCGACCCCGAGGAGGAAATATGAGGGGCAAACAAGAAGAAAACGTAGAAGAGGTGGATTAGGTGCCAAACATGGACGAAGAGAAACCTAAACCTTCAAGTTAACGCCCACCAACGGAGGCTCAACGCGGCCTGGACATATCAGATCAGATAACATATTTATTATTACCACAGCTGTTTGGTTTTACTTGACCTAGAAACAAGGATGTGACAACAAAACATGAATAGAATTAAGATTATTTCAGATTACCTTGAAAGAAACAGAATGACGCACTGATTCTTTATATAACGCGAATGTAAATTAAAGCTGGAAGCTGAGTAAAGATTAAAGCCTCACTAGTTAAAATGAATCGGTTCCGCTGAGGGAACGGATCAATAAGAACAGCAGTACTCCCCATGAATCACACCGAAGGAAAATGAATCAGTTCTCATCACAAGCCTCCCTTTGTATTTTACCTACATTTGTCTTTTCTTTACATAACACAGTTATTACCAGCATTAATCACTGCACAGATACATTGCAGATTTTTTTCAAAAGTGCAAATTTAAAGTAAAAAATAAAATCAGACTGGGTGGAGAACAACCTCATACAATACAACACATTAATGGGCTTTGATATCAGCCATTCCACTGTATGTTTAGATTCACTTATCTGCTGGAAGGCCTGTCTACCCACGTAAGCATTTTTTTTTATATAGCTCTATCAATTTCTCCACCAAATCTGACTGAAGCAAAGGAAACCCAAAGCATGATGCTGCCCCCACCATGTTTCACTGTGTGTCCACGTCGATGTGCAGCGTTAGGGTCGTGCATGTAGGCCAATAGCTCACTTTTGGTTTCAACTTCTGAAGACAACAGGGGTTTATTTAAGGGTAGCAGAGTGAAGGGGGCTCTTTTCCCACTCTTTTCTGATTTTTACTGTTGAAAATCTTTTGAAAACAGCGTCTCGTTTTCTTTACATTTCATAACTTTCTACATTGTGTTTTTCACATGAACTCTCAATAAAATTCAGTGAAGTTGGTTGTTGAAACTTGACAAGATGTGGAAAAGGCCAAAGGTCATGAATACTTTAGTAAGGAACTGTACTTTCTCTGCAACAGGTGTGCTGGTGAAATATTACAGGTCTCCTCTGCTACATATTTGGCACTTTGAAATGTGTAAAGGCCCCAATCAGTGTGTAATATTGTGTATTATTGTATACTTTACTGTAATTGCTTAGCTCTTGGAACTAAATATTAAGTTAGGACTTCTTGTGTGGTACTTTTTTAAGGAAAATAATGATGTTATAAATAATTACGTAATTCCTATGTTGTTACATGTTTTGGTTTGCACTATCAAGATAAAATACTTGTTGTCACTGTAGTGAAAGTATTTTCATATTGAGTTTGTATGCAGCACATTGTGGTATGTTTTTATCTTGACAGACTATTACAGAGATGGAAGAAGAATAAAAGACGATGGTTGAAGAGGTGATGTCAAGGTTCAAGAGTGATTTTTCTTAGATTTGGACTCCATAAACAAAAAGGAGAAAAGCTGAGTCCAGATCAAATTGTTACCAAATGACCTCAAATCTTTATTTTCACTTTTTCGTCAAATGTGTTTATTAAAGAGCATATCTGCAAAGAGACAGCTCTCAGAAACATTCACACGTTCCCAGTCCTGATTTATCTGTAATCTCATTTGTACTCCACAAACTGTTTGCGAACTGCAGCTCTTTTCCCCTCTCTGAGCCATTTCTCTGAACGACGACTCTAAATATCTGTGTGATAATACATCATCCTGGCACAGAGCACCACAGAAACTGATAAAGAACTCGGATACATTTTTTTTTTTAAATCTGCATGCATTACGGCTCCATCCTTTTTATCAGCAGTTCACGGCATCCTGCTGATTTGCTGCACAGGCATAAAATCAGATTTACTTTATGAAATCCTGAAAAAAGCCATCAAGCACAACTGCAGCGGTTCCCCCAGCAGCTGCCTCGGTATAAGCCGAGTACGCCTGAGAGAAATCAATGAGAGGGAGAAGGACAGATCCATATAGCTGACATAATAAGTCTGGATGAAGCAATGAAATGGCCTCCACCAGATGTGGGTTTATAGTCTTTCATTTTCCAACAGTTAACATATTCGCACGGAGAAAATGAACTTGGAGTTTAAGATGCTTGTTGAGTTTGTCCAAAAACCACGTTTTTCAGTAACACACATTTTTTTCCAGCAAGGTTTTCTTCTCTTGCATAGTCAGATCCTCAGCCATCTAACCACAAAGGTCAACTTAGTCACATGTTTGCATGTTTTTGGACCCTGAGAGGAAAATTACATGGGAGAAAATTAACCTTTCACACTGAGGTAATTTCCTGTATACAATATTGATAACATTGATAATAAAGAATTGCTCTGTTGCATTATTTTTCATGGATTCTTAACTCCCCCAGCGATAAAATCAGATCTTTTGTGCCTCATAAAAGTTCAGAAAGCTGAACTAAAAGTGTATCCGAAGGAAATGTTTGCACAACAAGCCCACTGTTGACAAAAAGACATGTTCCTGTGTGCTGAGTAGGACAGTGTGCAAGATTTCTCAGGCTTAGTGTGAGTAAAAATCTGATTTTGTTCATTTAACCATAAAATTAAATTAAGTTTCTCAGCAAAGCTGCTGACCCACATGCGATGTTACTTATAAGTGAAGATGGGCGCATTCAGGCTGCAGCTACTGAGGAGGCACATTCTGTCCCAACAGCAAGGTGAGCAGAAAGCTTTTAATGAGTTTATGTATTATTTTTCTGTAAACACGGCTAACATATTCTTCATTCACTTGATGTGTATAAATTGTATTTTTAAACTTCATTTAGAGACTATTTCAATTTTGGAGCCATGTGACAGTTGGTTTTAGTGCCACGATGGTGTAAATACCTCTTTTTGTAGTATCTGTCCATCCATTAATCCATTTTCTTGCACCCTTGTCCCTAGTGGGGTCGGGAGGTGCTGGTTCCTATCTCCAGCTAACGTTCCAGGCGACCCTGGACAAGTTGCAAGTCTGTCGCAGGGACTTTTTGAAATATTTCGATATAAAATTTAATGTGTAAATGAACTTCCCCTTTAGCTATGAAATAACTGTATTTCCTGATTTTTTCACAGCTCAAATCAGAGCACCCAAATTTAGCAAATTAATATTTTCTTTCCATTTTTTCCTAATTGAACTGCATGCAAACCAAAGAGCCAGCAGTATCGGCAATATGAAAGGAAATCCTTCAATTCAGTACTTTCCTCTGTCTCTTTTTGAAGTCTAAGAGCCAAAGTGGATTTTTGTGAACACTGAAAATGTGTTCACCTAAAAATACATATTTGACGTCGTTTGACAAATTCATAATGTTCCAGATTAAAGTAGCCAAACATGTCTTGTTTTCTGTTGCTGTAGATCACAGCTATGTCAGGCTCACCCAGTCCTCTAACCACTCATGTGCTGAACACTGCACTGGGGGTCCCAGGATCAAACGTGACCCTCAGACTTTATCAACAAGACCCCTCAACCGACGTCTGGCACTTAATAACCACTGGGTAATGTTCTCAGAAAATGGTAAACTGTGAAAAAGTGTTTGCCTCCTTTGACATATTTTTCAGTTTTTACTTTATGAAGGCTTTGGCTCGTCTAGAATCTCAGAAAATCTGCAAAGCGGCAAATACGTTTTCACGATATCTCTTAAGTTTGATCCCTTTCACATTCCAAATTATTTTCTTTCTCAGATCTTAAAATGTGTACTTCCTCAACAGGACAACAAATGATGATGGGCGATGTCCAGGGCTGATCACACAGCAGCAGTTTAAATCTGGTGTGTACAAACTGCATTTTGAGACTGGTCAGTACTGGGCCAGTATGGGTCAGACCTCCTTCTATCCCTACGTTGAGGTAAGAAAAGGCCAACTGTGACTTTTCATTCTGAGCTTCATTGCTGAATTATTTACGTTGTTGTTAGTGGCTTAGATTTTTAATTATTAAGCAAAAAGCAGTCTATGCTCTTGAATAAAAAGCAACAGCACCTCTTGTCTTGTTTTCACCAATCATCTAAAAGCCTCCTCCCTAAATATTCTATTCATTCCAACAAGACCAACATGTTAAATGTGTCAGTAGCATTTCACACTTTACATCTAGATTTTTATAAGTGGGACACGTCTGAAAAATGGAAAATTATCCATATTAAGTGTAAGACAAATGTCTTGGACTCTTTTATTCAAAACACCCCAGTAACCACACAGCGATATGTTGAACTATGACAAGAATAATATTGTAATAGTATACCTCTAATCTAAATGTACAATTTGGACTAGAATTGAAATCAAGAGCAATCAAGTTGAAGTACTTTCTATTCAATTCAAGTACTTTCTACATTATTAATATAAGAATGTGAGATTGCTTTCTTTTAATTTCTTTTTTCTGCTTTTGTTCTTCAGATTGTTTTCACTATAACTGACCCGGACCAAAAATATCACGTCCCTCTGCTTGTGAGTCGTTTCTCGTACAGCACCTACAGGGGGAGCTAGAGAGCAACTATAAGGAACCGCCTGCAGATGTGTTTTGTAACTGAAATAACTAATACTGTTTTCAAAATGGGATCTAAATAACTCAGGTGTGCTGTGAATGAATAATGAGTGAAGTATTATTTTTAATGAAGCAATATTTGTTCTGTCTGTATTGTGCATGACATTATACTCTATTGGCATAATATTAACATTGATTTAAAACCTACAACCCCATTAAAAATGAAGTGGTGCAATTCTCATTTATTTTCACTTCTGTTAAAATAAATGAGTTAGTTAAATAACAATGTATTGTTAAGTAAATGGGTAAATAAAGAGTTAAGTAAAATACAGCTTTAAAAATGTAGAAATATTAGAAATATAAAGCTGTAAAGTTAAACAGAGTAACAACAAATAATTTCACAGTAAATAATTTTACAGTAAAATTATATAAGTTGTTGAAACTGCACTATAGGGAGAGCTCTGCCTTTTAGCAAAGTTAAACATGTCAAAAAAGGGCAAACACGTCTATTTTAAAAGATTGTGTACAAGACGTTGACTGCACCTTTGGATGCGCACTATGAATAATATGAATAAGTTTATGTCCAGCAGGGTTTTCTTTTTTTTAGAAACAGGAAAAGCATGACTACCAACCCTTCAAACCAAGCCAAAGTTCCAAACACCAATTTGTTTTGATCCAAGACCTTCAGGTTTCTGCTCGAAAGCTGAAGATGAAAAGATTTATATTTTTCCAGCATCACAGTGGGTGCAAGCATGCATCCAAATTAACAGCTTCTGAATTGAAAATGAATATTTTGGCCAAATGAGTGTCCAGAAATAAAACTTTGAAGTCAGTATTTGTATGTGTTTTCCTTGATTTTTTTTTTAAGCTAAGTTATATCGAATATTTGCAGGATATGTGTTTTGTAGTTCGATTCCAGTGGACTGATTGCCTTTTAGGATGTGATGACATCCAAGCTTAGATACTTTACCTGTCGAGAACTAAATTGCTTTTAGTACAGGTCATATTTTTAATTGTGCATTTAAATTTAAAGATCAGAACAAAATCTATATATAAGTATATACATACAGTTTCTCTATTCAGCAGAAATGAGCCCCTGGTTTGTGATCTTCTCTCTGGGATCCATTGCTTCGCCCTGAATGCTGGATCAGTTTCTGCTCTTGATTTCGCTCCCTGTCGCCTCTGTTTGGAGAGGAACGTGAACGACGCCTCCTGTCATGTAATTATTTTGTAGGTCTGCATTTCTGTCACCAAAAACAATGGCAGATAAACTGAGGGAGCAGAGAGCAGCGAAGAAGAAGCAGGAGGCAGAGCTCGGGGTGAGGAGGCAGAACTGGGGCTTCAATTCACTGAAGCGTTTTCACAACACTGAAGGTTCAGCTTTATAATGATATCAATCATATCCAGACCATGACGCCACATGCAACTCGCCGCTTATCATCCTGCAGATGCTTACAAAGGATCTGTTTGCCATAAGCATACTTTTTTGTTGTTGTCTTATTTCTTTTCAGGGTCCTGCAAATAATCAGCAAGATGAGGAACCCAAGCAAAGGTGAGGTGTCATGTGTTTTGGGTCCATTGGGTTTGACAACAGAGACAATATTCAGAAGTTTATTTTGTTTGTTTATTTGTTTGTTTGTTTGTTTGTTGCAATGCTGTTATAACGCTCGCAAATCTCCCCAGAACAAAAATGAAGTCCATATTATTCAGTTTACATTTTTCCAGCAGTGGTTTGGTAAGATTAATGTTTAACTTTAAGGTAAATTCAGGAAAATTGTGTATTTTCATGATGTGATCATACCACAAATACATCCCCAAATCCATAAAATTCATGCTGCAGAAACATGCAGTGTTGGGTTCAATGAATTTAGAAATTGTATACCTTTCTGATATTATTGTGGATATTCTAAGCTTCTGGTACCAGCCTCAATCATTCTGAGAGGACTTCTTCAAAATAAATGCATACATGATCAAATATTACTGCAGGTTTATGCATAAGTATATTAGGTATATCTTATATCTAATCTCTATCTTTGTTTAATTATTACGATTTAGTTTAAGATCATTTCAGATCACAGCTCTGCATTAGGAACATCTGCATCAAATGCTCCGACTAAATGGAGGATTATTTGTTTCCTTTGCTCTGCATCGCCGAGTCATGCTGCTTCTGCAACAATCACTTCTTCTGCAATTCCACTTTACACCTTAAAGTTTGCACTGGGGATATATCCTGAGGAGAATCAGGGGTAAAATGCTTTTCTGGCTTCAAGCTTTCACTGAGACCTCTCAGTTGCTTGTGATGCGTAACGAACGTCTGTAAATCACGGAACAAGACTTTTCTCTGAAATGGACTCTAGTTTGACTCTGTGTGGAATAAAGAAATGTTTTTTTTTTTTAAATCCAGCAAAACTCATGTGCTTGCAGACTCACTTTCTCTCATTCTAACCTCTCCCACAGAATAGGCAAGACCAAGGAGCTGGCATGTGACGTCAGGGACCAGATAGTGGATCTGCACAAAGCTGGAATGGGTTACAGGACCATCAGCAAAAAACTTGGTGTGAAGGTGCCAACTGTTGGTGCAATTATTAGAAAATGGAAGAAGTATAAAATGACCATCAATCGTCCTCGATCTGGAGCTCCATGCAAGATCTTGCCTGAAGGGATGAGGATGATCATAAGGAAAGTGGTGGATCAGCCCACAACAACCCGGGAGGAGCTTGTTCATGACCTGATGGCAGTTGGGACCACGGTCACCAAGCACACTGTTGGTAACACACTACGCCGTCTTGGCTATCAGTTTAGGAAAGGTATTTACCAACTTTGTTCTGTGCTTGAATCTCAGGAGCGAGTTAAGGTTTATCTATTGTGTGAAAAATGAAACTCGTGCCCCTGTTTCATCTTATCTAGCAGACTCCCCCACCAGAGCGGACAGTCCGCTCAGCTCAACTTTCAGCGTGTTCGCCGGCAGTCCGGAGAATTCCCTCTCCTCCTTCTTCCCACCCAGTTCCCGCCACTGGATCAACGAAGAGAGCCCTGACAGGAAGGAGCTTGATGATGAAGATGGTGGCCACATAGTACGCGCATTGTTTCTCCTTTGAAAAATCATTCAAGGTGCATGTGAGACTTTCCTGAGTCAGTCTGAACTGGCAGCTAATGAACATCCTCTTTGTTTTCCTCCTCCCTGTCCATTCTCCCTACCCGTCGGTCACAGATGAGCAGTGACATTTCTGACCCTGAGGAAGAAAGCGAGGAAAATATGAGAGATGTGGATCAAATACCGAACATGGAGGAACAGAAACATTCACCTTCAAGGAAAGCCCACAGCAGAAGCATCACACAAGCTCGTGGTCAATGAAGATTATACCTTGGTTTGGTGTTTTACACGCATCAGGACGTAAAAGAAAAATGATCTGATCTTCAAGCAGGTTCTGAAATGATCTAACCTGACCTGCACAAAAACAGATTCTGCAAGGTTTTATCAATTACACAAAGATAAAGAAAAATCAAAAGTGTGTGAAAGCATCCCATGATTTACTATAACCTATGTTAGCAGTTCCATTCTTGTAGTTATTTGTTCTGTAGGACTTTATTAGTCTCTCACATTTTGTGGAGGAATGTCGGTTGACTTTACAATCTTGCTTCACTTCATTATTGATATTTATTCAAGGTTCCACTACAGTATTTCAATCAGATTTTGAGCCACTGCAATGGTTTGATTTTTCTCTGTTTCAGTAATTCTGTTGTTGATCCAATATTGTGTTAGGAATGTTTTGTTTCAAGGCCCACTTTGGCCACCTTCTTGGCAATCCATAGTTGTTGAACTTTTTTTAAAATTGCACTGTAATGCACTTTAACAATTAATAAGCTTACTGAGGTCTGCAGAGTCTAAAATGAAGGTTTTATATTTATTTTGTTTCCTTTTTTTGAAATTTCTGTCTTAAATTTTTTCCACTGAGAAATCTTTTGTACAATATGTGACTTTAGATGGTATGGAAATTGTCTTAATTTGAGAAATAGGCAAAAAAATATATATCTGTATATATTGATATATTCATGATGTTTGAATCATACCCACCTGCTGGATCTGATTTCCTCTGAAATCCTATGGCTTCCATTGGAATGATTTACTTGCTTTTTTGATGAAAAGTAGTGAAGCTAGTTTTAAATTATTTTAGAATCCAAAACCACCAATTATTTTATGATGCCCTGATGCATAAAACCCTAACATGAATGAGAAAGAAGGAGTGCCAGTTGATTCTTTGTGAACAACCAGCTGTTACCGTTCCATCTTTTTCAGATATCCTAATAAAATCTCACCTCAAGACTCCTCCACATATTTGACACTTGAAATGTCTAAAGGCCCAAATCAACATGTAACATTTTGTATTACTGTCTACTAAATGTAAGCATTTAGCTCTCTGAATCATATCTTAGTTTATCTTAATTGTGGTACCTTTTAAAGTGAAAAATATGTAAATATCTGTCTCTTCATGTGTTATATGTTCCTATTTGCACTTTTAAGATAAAAAATGCAAACACTAATTGTCCCTGTAGTAAATGTGTTATTATATAAAGTATAAATGTGTACGTCACATTGTTTGGTGATGTTATTTTGATAGACAAAGACACAAAAGAGGAGAGGAGTCAAGAAGTTTTTCATTTTAAAGGTAAAGAGGCTTTACTCAGTAGCATTCACTTTTGTGGATGTGGGAAATCTGATACATCTATGTTCATACTTGATACACAAACTGCAGTACTTTCCACATAGAGCAATTTGTCTGAAAACTCTGTGATAATAAATAATCTTGGCACCAAGCATCTTAAAGCATATATTTTTTAAATCTGTATATTTTTACAGCTCTGTCGTTTCTATCATCAGCGTACAGCATCCTGCTGATTTGTTACACGGAGATAAAGTCTGATTTATTTTACCAAAACGGCTGGAAAAAGCAACAAGCACAGCTCCAACAGCTCCTCCAGCAGCTGTGTCTTTAAGAGAGAAATCATTTAGAGGGAGACGTTTAGCTCCATGTAGCTGAGATAAATCTGCATGGAGCAGCTTAATGGCCTCCACCAGCTGTGGGTTTCTGTCACTCTTTGAGTCAAAATATTGTCGTTGAGAAACTGAAGATGGGAGCTTAAAGAAGCTTGAAAAGTCTCAAATGAGAGACCCGTCCCCCTTGAAGGCCGTTTTCTGACTGTTTTCATGGTCAGTGCTTCACATTGCTGTTTTAAAGTAAGGATGAAGAGATTAGATGATAGGACAAAGTTTGGCTTGGAGACTGCAGCGCAAAGGAGGAGCTCAAAAAAGTTGATTTTACATAATACTCCTTCATACATAGGTAGAATTCTTTTTTTTAAAAAAAAACAGTTTTTCTAAATGATCTATTAGGCTCATAACAGCCGACTGTGCTCTGCCTTGACTCAGAAGTTCAAAGAGCTGAACTAAATCTGAGGCCAAAGGAAATTCTTGCACAACAGGCCTATTGTTGACAAAAGATAGGCTCTGTGTACTGAAAGCCGTGCTGACTGAGTGGGACTGTATGCAGGATTTTACATTAGAAACGTAACGTGAGTAAAAATTTTGATTCTTTTCATCAAACCACAAGTTTAAGTTAAACGTAACAGCAAAAACTGCAGAACCACATCATTATTTATAAGTGAATATGAGCAAATTCAGGCTGCAGCAACTGAAGAGTCACATTGTCTCTGACAGACGGGTAAGCAGAGAGTAAATATTTATCTCAATTTATACTTACTGTTTAACATATTAAATAAGCCTTTATTATGAGCTGTGGGTGAGAGAACAAAAGACAATTTTGATGCAATAACTATATTAAATTAGTGCTTGTTAAACTGTCCACTGGTTTATGACCTTAAGCTAATGTTAAAATGTAACTGAAGTTGAAAGTGACTAAAGTTGCAGATCATGTGATCTTCTAAATAAATTTTTTTGAATCTGAAGCATCTTTGTTATTCACATCAAGTGTCTCAAATTTTAGCACATTTGATGTTCAGTATAAAGAAAGAAACTAAGTCTAGAGATTCTTAAAAAGTTAAAAGTTTGGGTTTGCATCTATTACATGTTTCTCTAGTCTCTTAATTCCCCCCAGTCAATATGTGAAGAAAGACAATTCGATTAGAGCTTCCATCTCTTTTTAGCAATTGGACTGCAAAAGAATTGACTCAGTTCGATACGTTGTTCTTAGAATTTGATCTAACATTACATTTGCATCAAGTCTTAATTTCTGTTGCTGTAGATCACAGCTATGCCAGGCTCACCCAGTCCTCTAACCACTCATGTGCTGAACACTGCACTGGGGGTCCCAGGATCAAACATGACCATCAGACTTTACCAGCAAGACCCCTCAACCGATGTCTGGCATCTGATAACCTCTGGGTAATACCTTTCATACTAGGAGTCACATCCATTCACACATCTGAAGGCTTATTGTTTCACAACAGGACAACTAACAGCGATGGGCGATGTCCAGGACTGGTCACACAGCAGCAGTTTGTACCTGCTGTCTACAAATTGCACTTCGAGACGGGTCAGTACTGGGCCAGTATGGGACAGACCTCCTTTTATCCCTATGTTGAGGTGAGAAAATGGCAGCCACAGTTCAATCACAACTCCTATGAATATGTGAACATTTGTAACCTCACCTACACAGCTGTACGTAAGTGGCCTATCTCTGCTTTTTCCACTCAGATTGTTTTCACTATAACTGATCCAGGCCAGAGGTATCATGTGCCGCTGCTTGTGAGTCGTTTCTCCTTCAGCACATACAGGGGGAGCTAGAGAGCATCTGCTGTTATCCTCCTATCAACTTATCACTGTCTGACTGAAAAAAAAAACATTGGCAACTCCACTAATGACCCTCTTGGCAGCACTACTGGCAAAATATGTATTTGTTTATTTTTCTTGAAGAAATTAGAACTACAACATTACAAATAAATGGTTCTATGTATTACACAAAACTATACTGTTGTCTTTCTGGTGCAAACACCCATATGAGTTAAACATTGGTATTTACTGATTTTATGATTAGCTAGCAATTAAGTGATTATTAACAGTGTTAATTAAACACAGTTTTCATGTCAATAGTGTCACATTATATAAATTACGCACAATGTATATAATTATTTATATAAATGATGCATAATTTTTATGATGTAACATATAGCAACATGTTTACTTTAATAGATTTCTTCACAATGAAAATGCCTTGCAATTTTTTTACTCAGTTGTACATTTTAAAAAGTAAAAAAAATTTTTCTTTCAGCATTGTATTTTTTCATTAACCCTTTTAATTTTCTGCAAATAAATTCTTGAAGTTAGTATATTTATTTGGATCTGGAAATGTTACTAGTTATAGTTATAGGAATGGAAGTTTTTTTCCCCCTACATTTAATTCAGAAGTTAACGCAAAAAAAAAATAAAAATAAATAAAAATTCTCACTTTCTCGTTTTAGGTCAGTCAGAATTACCAAGATTATTTATATTTGCTAAATGCCACAATAATGAACAATGTCATTAATTGATGAAACACACACATAATGAACAATGTCATTAATTGATTAAACACACACACACACACACACCACACACACACACACACACACACACACACACACACAAACACACACACACACACACACAACACACGCATATGATATCTGAACAAGACAGGATCAGTCCTCATCAGGAAGCTTTTATTCCTTTATGTAAAGTCTAATAATTATTACTCTTATTATTTTGACCTCATATGTATACGTCCTATATATTTTCCTATATATTTTTTGTCTTGTATTGTTTCTCTTTTTCTTATTTTATTATAATTTTGCACTTTGGTGCAGTCTTATACCTATTTTTAAAGTGCTGTATAAATAATATTGACACTGACATTTATTTATGAAAAAAAAAAAATCAACTGAGGTGAGTTTCAAATAGAAAACTCGGTTCACAGCTGCATCGATCCCCCCATCTGTGTTCCATTACTTCTGCCTGATCGCAGGATCTGTGAGCTCTCCTCTCGACTGTCTGGCGCTGGGCTAAGGTGGGGCCTTGTCTCCGATTTGAGTGAAGCGTGCATTTCGGCTACAGTGTCTTACCTTGTTTTGTATCTGAAGGAGAACGTTACCGTGAATAATAATGGCAGACGAAGAATTAGAGGCGATAAGGCGGCAGAGGATGGCGGAACTGCAGGCGAAGCAAGGGGTAAGGACTGAGCAGGCGCTGGGAACGTGTTGTAGGCCGCCTTATAAGGAGATGCTGGATTCGGTCCTTTTACTGCTAACAGCGTAGCTAACCGAGACACTGGGAACCAAATGGCAGTTTTCCCAATGACCACATTACGCAAAGAGATGACGCGAAGTCCGAGCGAAGAGTAAAACTGTCCTCCGGTGGTGAATGAGACGCACAGCAACATGTCAGCGTTAGCTTTGTGTTGTTGTGTCAGCGTTAGCTTTGTGTTGTTGTGTCAGCGTTAGCTTTGTGTTGTGTCAGCGCACACCCCCTGAAATCTGCGACTTGGACAGAAAATAGTGTTTTTTTATCGTTTAATAATTCAACCGTTAAGTATTTTGATATTCATTATTCCATCGGAAGTTCTTAACTGTTTAAAGTTGCCAGCCAGACTTTTTTTTCTGTGTAGTCAATTAACAAAATGTATAGAATATTATAGGATTGTTTGTTTTGTTTGTGGGTTTTTTTTTCTATTTGGTTGGCTGTCCAGTTGGAAATTATGACTTAATCAGGATGAAATTGACCAAATTAAACTTCACATAAGGAAACTGATCAGAGTTATTTTCATAAATGTAAACACTTAGTGGATTTTAGGAAAATGTGGTAACAGTAAAAGTCACTGAAACGTTTTACCGGTGCAGACATTAGTTTTTCTTCATGTAAAACCCGAGTTCTGTTTTAATTTGATAGATGGAAAACTAATAATTATTACCAAAAAATGCTGCATCTTAGAAATTTGAACTTTTTGCAGTGTATAATTTCCTTCTGAAATGGTATTTTATTAGCTGAACATTTTGCACGTACTGTGCAAAGATTACTGTGCTTTTTGTGGGCTGAGTTAGCGCTCTAGCATAGGCAAATGACCCAAAATGCATTTAAGCCTTAAATGCATGGCAATGTCTATGTGATGTTTTATTTAAATGTATAAAAAAAACTAACTTACAGTAGTTTTACAAAGTTGTTTTTACATCTGAAATAAATGTTTATCAGAATACATCTATTGTTATAACTAGTTGTTATAACCAGAAAACAGTAAATGTAATCGGTGCATTAACACAATACACATCTATTTAGAGTGTCCTTTGATCAATAATAACTGGAACACTGAATAATGATGCATATTTGATAGTGATTATTCTTGATTATTTGACTAAATGCCATCATTGTACTGTACAAACAAACTTGATTTGACAATAAAACATATCTGAGACTTGACATGTGGGTTGTTTGATGATTCATTATCTTATTTGCACAGATTTATTTCAACCAAGAGCAGAAATCCTAAAGTAATGTATTTTAGAAGAACTGTAAAAATGTAGGCTGTGTTCTGTCATTTTAGTGCAGAAGTAATAGAGTAAAGCTATGCTGTCTGTTTTCAGGATGCTTCAAATAATCAGCATGGTGAAGAAGCTAAACAGAGGTAAGGCTCCTGGGATATTTAAAATCATGAAGCTAAAGTAATTTATTGTTTTTTTCATATAGTTGTACTGATCCTTCCTCTCATACAAGGCAGTAATTGTTTGGGATTTTCTGAGCTGATCTCAATCAAGTATTGAATTGGACTCCTGATCAAAGGCAACAGACAATACATTAAAAACTAAAACAGCTGATCGTTCTAACTTGTCCACAGTTTAGAGTTGCTTTAAGACAGAAGATTGGAGCGGTTCAGTAGGCACTTGGCACATAAGCAATGTTAGCTATTTCTCAAAGTCATAGCACTTTATACCATCATTATTTCTTGTTCTTTAAAAGTTGATCAACCTGCTTAGTTTACTGAACTTTTCTTTCCCCTTTCTGATAACTAAATAAAACAACTTCAAGAACATGAGTGTGTTATTTATTGCACTTCAGATTAAATAACACTCATGTTATTTAAGGTGACAGGCATATCATTGTTTATAATAACTTTATTGTGTTTTGGTTATGCGCGGTGTAGATCTTTGTCAACCATCAGCTTAAACGTCAGGTTTTTAGAGTTGTATAAATCTTATAAATATTCAACCACAAATGTAATATTTGTCATTGCACCTGTGTGTCTGCCCAGGTGTTTTGGTGTATTTTTGCTTAAAATGATTTTCATTTCGTTTTTGTTTTTAACTGAGTTAAGTTGAACCAATGTGGAAATGCTATTTTTGTTTATTTACAGAGAAACTGAAATGAGGAACTCGATATTGGCTCAAGTCCTGGACCAGTCTGCTCGAGCAAGATGTAAAGGCACACTCAAATTTAGATTTTACTTAATGCATATTTTGAATACGTTACATGTTTTTGTTTTTATTTTTTTTCCCAGTAAGCAATCTGGCATTGGTTAAGCCAGAGAAGGCAAATGCGGTCGAGAACTATCTGATTCAGATGGCTCGATTTGGAAAGCTAGGAGGAAAGGTAAGACAAAAAACCCTCCCCCAAAAAACTTGTGCTTTTTGTCATCTCCATGGCAGAATAATGAGCAAACTTTTCTCTTTTCAGATTTCTGAGTCCGGCTTGATAGAGATTCTAGAAAAAGTCAGTCAGCAAACGGAGAAAAAGACCACAGTTACAGTAAGTTGCCCTGACATGTCTTAAAACCATCAATTCAGTTTCTGTCCATCTCGCCTCACACTGCGCTTTGTGCCTGACCTGCAGTTCAACAGACGGAGGGTGATGGACTCAGACGACGAGGACGATTACTGAGTTTAAGCAGAAGCGCTGGAATGAGGCAAAAAATTCCAGGAGGTGAAATGCATTGCTGGGATTCTGCGAGGATCCCTGACTCGTGTGTTCTCATCAAATTCCTGGGATGCCACACTACCTTCTGTGTCCTTGGAATGGAGACAACAAAACAGAAGAACAAGGATGTTAGGCTAATATTCTCCTGCGCGGAGGGGGATTTAAAGGAAACACACAGTGTTCACAAAGGTTTTTGCAGGCTTGTACAGCTTGTGTTGTACCCATGATAGCTGAAGGCACTGTCTGACTCCTCCTCACAACAGTTCTGTTCTTTTTATTTCCCTCCTTATGGTTAAACTCTGTTTTGCAAACATGCAAGACATTCATTTTTTTCGGAACTGTTCTGCAATCAATATTTTTATTATTTTTCAGAGCCAAAGTCCTGTTAGGTTTGAACATTTCTCTTACGTTGTTTTCTTGCTGACTTGTGTTTCTAAAGTTTTCATTAAAAATAATAATTAAAAAAGGCCTTATACATTAAAACTTTTTTTCCCATCTTCAAATATAAGTATGGTTCATTTTAGAATTTATCCATTTAACTACACAGGAAGTTGGAACCATGATATTTTCAAGTTTCGGTTTAATTTCCAAAGCCAGAGTTAACAGATTGCCAATGTATCCAAAAATTGTTGAAAATAAAAAAGTGAACAAATGTCTGTCTTTATCTCCTTGTAATTTACTAGATGTAAAAGTTTTTTGCTCCTGTATGTTGCAATCACCTCATATAGGCTGTCCACACCTTTATTGCAATTGTCTAGGATGATGCCAGGCTTCCTGTCCTTACAGTTTATTAGCATCTTCCAAGCATAGTTAGTTTTGGCATCACAGGTCCCACATGACTTAATCCCATATTTTACTGGCCTTTAATGCAGAAGAGCAGTGTTACATCTTTATGACATTTTGTTTTTTCATCGTGCCATATAGTATTTGAATGCTGTTGAGGGAAAGTGTCTTTCAGTTTGAGGCATTTCTTCTTCTGTGGTTAAATCAGCATCTTCCAATGAGTTGGATTATAAGTTTTTTATACCTCTTGTGAATCAGTTGTGTTGCTGGTCATTTGAAAGAAGAAAAAGTTTCTAGAACTTGTTCAGCAGATAGGATTTGGGGTACTGTAATCTGTATCACCTTTATCAAACTTATTCCTGGCAGAATTATGGGTCCTACTTCCGG